TCCACAATATCCTGTGCAATTAGTTCTACATATTATTTAGGCATTGTGTAAAAATTTATGTTATTTCTCCCTAAATACATAACTTCGTGCTCCCAAAGTTGTTAAATTTCCACTGTTTCTAGTGCTCTGCTCTGCCAGGTTGTCTAATATTTCCTATATAACAATTTGGTCCTGCTCCATATTGGCAGTTTACCTCCTATTTGTGTCATTTTCAAATTTCATAATCATGCATCTAGTCCCTTCACCAAGGCTGATAATTAAAGCATTAAGAAGAGGCAAGCCCAGAGGAACACTGCTGTAGGACCAGGCAGAAGGAGGAGGAAGAATGGACCTGAGTACTTGAAGACATACCTTTCCTCCAAATAGGCCATCAGATTTGGTCATCTTCCTGTTAATGTGGAAGAGAAATGTTAAAAGGAACAAGCCTCTAAAGTGTTAATCCCAAAATTCATCTCTTCAATGTGTGTTTTCCTAGGTGGCAAAGGACTGAATGCCTGTATACTCAGTAACCAAAACTCTGAGGCATCAACCTTGGAACTTCTATACTGTATTTACTTGTCAATAAAATGATCAAAGTTAAGATCAAGCATATGGCCCATAGGTTGGATACATCCTGCGGAGGTGGATTATCTGAGCTGCTATCTTTTCCCAGGGCTGAAATGAAGGAGCAGAGGGGCAAGAGTCACCTGCTCATAGGGTTCACATTCCCTCATCAGCCTCATCCTGCTGTTGGAGGAGGTGTTGACATGACATCTTCTGCATCAGCCACTAAATATTCTATTCCTCATAGCTGGTGGCCATGGGAATTGGTGGCACTTAGTGATTAGGGGTAAGCAGTGGCAACTGCATTTGGGACTGTGCCATTACCTCCCTTCACAGCAGTGTGAGGCTATGACAGGATGCAAGTCCACATTAATCACTTGGTTGCTGGGTACTCCAAAACCTCTCTGCAGCAGCAGCTTTGGCTGCAGCATCAGGGTTTTTTGTGTAGCTACCAGAGTCCACCAAGGCCAGAATGGGTGTGGCCTGCAAGCACCTGCAAAGCAGAGAAAATGGTGAATGGACCAATTTGTGTTTGACACAGCTGGCTTAAAATAATGAAATGACACAGAAATTGGGAGCCTTATAATCAAATTTACTAGTGTGAATTACAGATTGTACCTTACATGTGGCCAACTAGTTCATGTTAAAGTCAGTGCAGTTTTAGGCACATTTTTAATAAATAATGTACACATTTCATCAATCTACCATTCTTTTTTTCGCCTCTGAAAATGCATAGTTGATATTTGCTGCCATCTAGTGATAAGAAGAGTACCAGAAATTAAATTAAGAGAATGCAATCAGTATATTTGCTTTCCAAAGTGATATTTTGTTTGTATAGTTGTACATTATTTAAAAAAACTATTTTTATATTTGTGTTTCTTTATATTTGTATAGCTCAGGAGTGCCCAACTTCTGACCTGCAGGGCTCTCCATGGGGTAGTTGGGGAGTGGCGGCAGTCAATATTGACTTCCGCCCCCACTGCCAAATTTCCCAAACCCAAACCCTGTGTGGCAGGTTGGGGCCAGGCTGTGCCTTCTGCCCTACTACCCACAACTGGATCAGGGCTGCGCAATGCCTCTTTGTCCCCGCCCCATGGCTGCATTGGAGCCGGGTCATGTTCCCTTCACCCCTGTAGGGCTGGGTTTGGGTTGGGTGAAGGCCCCTTTCTCTCTTTCCCCTCTCCTCATGGGGCCGTGTCAAACCTTCTTTCCTACCGTGCAGCTGGGCTGGGCTGCCCCTACTACCACTCCCCCAGCCAAATGGGGTACTGCTGTGATCACCCTGAAAGCTCGATCAGGACCATTGGACAGGTCTGGCCTGCAGAAAGCCTGGACACTGCCCATCTGACCCACTGGCCAAAAAGGTTGAGCACTATTGGTATAGTTTATAGAATAATAGAGCATGTATTAAGTTAAGGTTATAAGTATTCTGTGTAAAACACCCATTTCTTTATTATACTGGGCTTAATATAGGACTTTAGAAAGTTACTACAAGTTTAAAGTTTGGAATGAAAGCACTAAGTAAAACGGAAGAAGGAGAAATCTGCCAGTGTGGGGCTACTTTTCTAAAGATAAATTAAGCTTTGACTTCTGACTTTAGTTTTCACTTTTTTGCATTATATCCTTGATGGTGTTTTAAACTGCTTTTGAGACTGTCATATGAAGTTACAGTGAGTCTGTATCTTTGATAGAAGAGATGTTGCTGCACAGAAAATATTTCTCAGTCCAATCATGCAAATGATTCAGCTGAACTCGGACTTCAAATTAAGATGAGGTTGCAGTCACAGTTCATCTTCACATAGGCCATATTTTCCCCTTCTGCACAAAAAGCCAAGGGAAAGTACTTCTTAAGAGAGTCAAAGGAGCACAGTATATTTCAGCCAGGTCTTGGCATTGCTTTCTCTACAGAAAAAGGTGGCATAGAGCTGGCTGTGAGACAGTGAAAATGTTGCTATGCCAGGATGATCCTTGCCTACTTATTTAATGCAGGTTTAAGTCCCCTTTGCCCTGCTACATCAGAACAGAGGGGATTTAGCACAGATCAGGACTTGGCCTCTGACTTTTTTTTAACAAAGTTAAAAAGGAGCTTCTGAAGTCCATGGTTTCTCTGGGAAGACAGGTATCAGTTTCTGACAACCTACCTGGGATGATTTAATTTAATAACTTCTGAAACAAAAAATCTGGATTCTGAAACAAAAATAGTTTCCAGTTATATTTTTAAAGTGCATACATTTCCCCTTTATCAAATATGTCTATCAGAACTGAGTGAATATGGATTTTTTTTTTTTTTACAGTGGCAGTTCACTGGAGAGCTCTTTGATCTAACCATACTGGAACATGCTGTTGTTTACTTACTAATAAACATTTATCTGAATCTGTCCTTTTGTATAGAGAGAGAAAAGGGAATAGATAGGGCTATGCGAAGCTTCAGTCCCTGATTCAATCTGGTGGAGATTTGGCCCAATTCAGTGGCCAAATCATCAAATCCAAATAGAATCAGGAGACCCTTTAATCTTTCCGACTTGAATGGGAACCCTCCAACTCGATCTGGAGAGATTCGGAAGGATTCAGAGATTCGGCTATAGACACGGTTTTAAATGCTTTTTTTCTACGTACCTCAAGGTAGCAGTCGGCTCATGAATGCTGCAATTTTGGGGCAGATGGAGCATCCCACAGGAGCATGGGGGACTCCCTAGTGTACTCAGGAGCAGACCTGGAAGTGGACCAGAAGCCCCGCGCCTCAGTGGCTTGGCATCTGGTGCTTCCTGGGTCTGGGGAAGTAGTTCCAGTCCACTTCCGGGTTCACTGTTGAGCATGTGGGGAGCCCCCTCACACTTCAGTGGGATGCTTCATTTGCCCCAGCATTGCAGCATTCACAAGCCATGCCTGGTACCTTGAGGTATGTAAAAAAAAAAAAAAAA